ATACACACATACACATACATACACATACATACATACATACATACATACATACATAGATGCATACATACATACATACATACATACATACAGAAGTGCGTATATACATACAACATACATACCCATATAAACGACATGACATATATGACACATACATACATACATACATACATACATACATACATACTTAAATACATACATACATGTACATACATACATCCATCCATGCATGCTTGCATACATACATACGGCACATACATCTCAAAATCACGGTCGGTGCGTGGCATATGATTCACGAAATACGACATTTATCGCAATGGGAATGGCGTGCGCCTCATGTAGTTGTGCATGAATGCATATAGATTTGCAGACAATGCTGTTTGCTTGAATATGCTTGAATCTGGCATCAGACAAGAAACAGAAAGCACATGGCACAGTATGTCTTGGCAAACAACCAAACCGGGACAGTAGCAGTCAGAATACCTATACAGCGTGCACATCAACACAGGATGATCGACCATGCAGCTGTGAGGGCACACTCCAGGTTATGCTGCTGAGGCACAGGTGATGAGAGAGTGTGGGATCGTAGAGAAGTCTTCCATGATCGTTCCGAAGATCGTGTGGCCCATGCTCACCTCTGGCAACCAAAGTCTCACTTGCCGCATGTTCTCGTGCGTCTTGAAAACATTGCCCCATGATCCGAAATTTCAACCCTGCCTGGTATACTATGCTCGGTGATACACCCTACACTTTGACCGAATGGGACGTTCTGCCAGCCATAAAACCGAACACCCCCACCAACCTACGAGGTTGCTCGCACTTAGCCTCACATGAAAAGACGACGCGACTGGTATCGCCGGCATAGCAAGGCTGGAAATTGTCATGCATCACACACGCCCTCCTCGACACAACCCAGCTCGCAATAGTTGAAACTAGAGTTGGCGATCTGCTTTCAGGCAACCTCGATCAGGTGCGAGCCTAATGCTTCTGAAATTGTGAATGTACCGTGTTGTCCGATGGAGAGACCAGGTGATTCCGCGACGCTTCGCTTTTTGAGCAAGGAATGTGCATCAAGCCGCATAACCCATGAGGAGCACGACCATCACGACCAAGAAACCTGAGAAGTCGCGAGCTTTAGTATCTCAGCCCGAGTGTGCAGAAAAGAGATGCCCTGTCCACAAAGTTACCGGCTTCAATTGCTGACAAGACACAGAAGATGTCAGCTGCTCCACGGATGATGGTGTTGGATATGACCCTGCACGCTTGCACTGTTACTCAGTCTCAGTTTTGGTTGTGACGAAACCCCGCTCCCACATCCTCGACTGAAGTGTGGGAACATATTGCAATGCTGGCCTGCAGTAGGGGTAGGCTTCCAAATATTTTTGCGAGCACACGAACAAGAAGATGGTGTTGGCCTTGAGTCAGACCAAAGCACTCACTTACAGTCAATCTTGCTCTTCGCCACACAAAGCCACAAGGGAGTTGGGCCCAGGCCGCACAGATTTGAGCAAACGACCTGGACGGCTGGCAGTGAGGCTGGCAAGGAGCACGTTCACTTGGAGACACACAGCATGCTAAATATGTTACAGTAGGTTCCATGGTTCTTCGATGGCAACAGTTATCCAGTGCACATCCTCGTGCCTCATCTGAGTGCCGGCCGCAGCGAACTTGGCTATAACCTGCCATGACGGGAGAATCACCGAATCAACCTCCTTCGAGTATCAAGGGCATCCAGGAAAGTCCGATTCCGGCACCCCAATACCAACGCGACAGCTCGGCTGCTGCATCACTGCACAAGCCGATCTGCGTGCACCTGAGCTGATTCTGCGACCGAGGACGACACAACTCAGAAATTTCACGTCCAGGCTGACTTGTAACCGCGTAAGGCGTCCAGCATAAAAGCATTGGCCTATTTGCGTTCACTGGGCAAAGGACCGTGGCTCTTGGCTTGGAAATCCCAAGGTAGCACGGGTTGTGTGGCGCCAGGTGGGCTCTTGTCCAACCCTACGCCACCCATCCCGACCTGCGGGTTATGCCTGTTTCAGATTACACCGCTCGTTATGAACCTGGGTGTTCAGCACGCTTCAGGTTTCCACGTATTGTTATTGATTATTGTTGTCAAGGTTTTGATTAGGGGCAATCACGACATGTTTGCCCCCCTTCCATGTGGCCAGGCTCAATGCTGATTTCTCATCTTCACTATCATCACCAGAATAATCACCATGATCATCGTCTGAATGCTCCGTTTCATTACCTGCACATTCAGATGGCCCCTCATCATAATCTTCCTCATCATCCTAACCACCACAAAAAGCACAATTATGATCACAATCTTCATCTTCAACGAACCTCACCATGCTCATCACCAGGATCACCATCCTAATCTTCATGTTCATCAGAATGACAGCAATCCACGTTTTTCGAGCACTCCAAACTTCCTGATGATCATGATCATTATCACACTCATCACTGTCATGAGAGTATTACTGCTGTTACCAAAACTGATGCTGCTACTTCTTGTCCGTGTGCTGCTGCTCCTACCTTGATCATCACAGCAATCTCCGAAAATGTCGATGCCTGCCCGCTGCTGTCTCTGCCAAACAACCTTTGAACTTGGAGAAACACAATTTATTCGAAAACACACATTTTATCAAATAGCACATGCTCTAGAGTGCGGTCCGCGCAAAGGCGGCGTTACCTTGTCCAAGCCATATTCTTGTAAACTAACTTGCTGTCCACGGCCTCGTGTGGGGCGAGCTCTGCCCGAAACATAATCCGACTGTTGCAAGTCTTTGCTTGGCCAGCGAGGATCATCGCAATAGATGACAGCATTGAGTTGCCGGGAGCTTTAGCTTGGTTAGACGCACTCCGCATGAGCCCAGCAGAGGCTGCGATCGCAAGTGGGGCCCCGGACTGGGCAGGCGTCCACACGGGCGATTCCGGGAAGAAGAAGGACTGGCAAAGAGCGAGTTCAAAGAACCGTGGCACAGACGCAAAAGCTGAAACCTCCCCCCTGCCCCTCAAGTCCCCAACGACGGTCCCAAAGAGAGAACCCCGTGGTGTCGACAAGACTCCCACAGCAAGAGCCCATCTGCAGCATGCGGCAGCATGCGGTCGGGCCTGTGTCAAATCCAAGAGGACAAAGGAGTACCTGGCGACACATCCAAGAGGACTTCCCAAAGCCCCTGGGAGTGCAGCCAGTGAGACTCTGAGGGCAAGCTGGGCAGGCAGACCACATGACCAGGGTCACAATGGTCCTTAGCTCTGCTGTATCAAACTCGGCGATGAACTCACTGACAGCCCTTCGCCGGCTGTTTCAACCTGAAAACCTCTGCTTCCTTCCAGGTAACGTGATGCCACTGAGGAAGTCGAGGAGGACAAATGGATTCCCGAGCACCCGGAAAGTGACCACCTTACTGCAGTCACGCGCCCGACAATCGTTGCAGCAGCCTCGTGACATGATCACGCACCGGAAACCCCTGGGCCGAGAGATCGAAGAAAGATACGAAAACCTCCTTAAGAGCTTGCGTTGTTTAGCGGACCTGCCTGGATGGCCACCCAAAGCCGCTCCCCGAACTTGCTGGCCTTGCCCTGCGCTGCAAAGGCTCGCACAAGTCTGCAGACAGTCCGCGGCACATCCTTGAACTTTCTTCAGGTCCGTCAGTGCCCATGCCCAACTCGGGCCTTGCGAATGCCGGCCAGCGTTGCCCTGGCGCTTGAAACGTCCGTCCGTCATTTGAGTAAACTGACATAGCCGAGACTCGATCTGTGCAACCCTTAAGAAGTATCCCCAACATCATCCCGCGGCCTTCAGAGGACTGCACAACCCTTGGAACAGTTTGAAGCAGAATGCCTCCCACCAAGACACAATCAAGGTCCCTAATTTACTCCATCTGCCCCGTCGACCTTCCAACCGTTCGGACCACGCATACGAGCGTTTCTCTGATCGTGTGAGCACGGAGCACTCGAAAAGTTTCAGCAGAATGCTTGTGAAGCGGGATGAAACTTTATACCAATGTCTCCTTCAGCTCTGCAGCTTACGCATGCCTTGCGAAGGTCTGAATCTTCGCCTAAACCCTAAAATCCTAAAACCCTGCAGTTACCCATCTGGGCCTGTAGATCTCCCGCAAAGCCAAGGCCAGGCGCGAGATGGTGAAGACAATAACGACCTGGGATCTGCTCCAAGATGTTCCAAGGATCGATCCTCTTATTCCCGTTGAGCTCTTCAGGGTTTAGGGTTTAGGGGTTTAGGGTTTAGGGGTTCAGGGTTTAGGGTTTAGGGGTTTAGGGTTTAGGGTTTCACACTTCAGGTAGGGATTCTTTCTCCGCCGAGGCCGGAGGCAGGGGCGTTCAGATCGCCTGGGGGACCAGGTGATGGTATTACTATCATTATTATTATTATTATTACTATTATTACTATTATTATTATCCCCCTCCAGGCCCCTCTCACCAGAGATCGGCTCCTTTTTGGAGAAAGGACGACCTGTCATTTTCACTGTTGTTTCCCGGGTTGGGGCGCTCAGTCCCTGCATCCTTTTTGGCCCCGCCCCCAACCCCGCCCTCCCCCCCTCCCAGGAGCATGACAGGCTGATTGAAGAGTTCGACATGAGACACTTGGTGAAGCAGCTGCGGACAAGCATAGCGGAGCTCGGGACCGGCTCGGCCCTTGCGCAAGCGGTTGAATTGAATACAGCTTGGGAAAAATATAACATGAAAACTACGAAAAGGCGCGCAGAGCAAGCAGTACATGTCCCTGAACTAGTTGCCATGTTGAGCCATGAACCCCATGAGTTGTTGGCATGACAACTTCCCCCCGATCACCCTGTCTCGACATCGTTGTGTTTGTGGCCTTAGAGATTTGCTCCGTGCTGTCGATGTTATTTTGCTCATGATCTGGCTGCACCTTAAAGCACGCGAAGGGTGAGGTGGCGAGAAGCGGACAACGGCGTTTGGCTGCCGACGCGTTGATGCGGCTTTCCTCTGGACGGTTCTGAGTATGTCATCAACTTATCACCAGAAGATGCTCTGTAAGAAGTCACCAGAGAACCCTGCAGATTCCGCCTCTCGTCCGACCGCTGTCTCTGTGGACTTCGCATCTGTTGGACTATCCGTACTTGGAAGGTCGATCAAATTAAATTTCGCTCCGAAGTTCTCCCGTTTTGGGGTTTCACACTGAACGGCATGTCATGGGCAACGCTTCAGTTTCACACTACATCGTCACTACATGGCAGCATCTTGGCGCGTGGTGCTCGTCCGGGAGTCTTCCTTGAGACAACCAACCCCTTGGCGAGAGCAACAGAGCTCGAAGAGTCCGAAGTCGAGAGAATTCATTTCGAATCCTCTAAAGAGGTTCTCCCGACAACGAGAGCCTTTTCGTTGGATAACATGGTCGAAGCCTGGAAAATGCAATAGATCGTCATGCCAGGTAGAGGCATCGTCGTTGCATGCTAACCAACACGAACATTTGCCAAAAACCAGAAAGCGGCTAGATCACGGAAACACATCAAGTCCAATCAGGTCAGCTTGTTGGGTGTGCTTCCAGCCCTGCACCTCCTTCTCGCCAACAGAACATTTACCAATTTACCCGCAGCCACGAAACGAAACTCGAAATCGTGCAAAGTGTCGCACTGTCTCGACTGAGCCCAGAACAATTTCCAGGAACAGCCGCACTGCGAACAGCGAACTTGAAACATCCGGGAGCTTGATGGTCTCCACCAGTATTTCCTGCTTTCCAGGGCTAGCCTCACCTTCCAACTCTAACTTTGGAGGTTTATAGGGTTCCGCAATATTCTGCATAAAATGTCGCACCACACATGAATCACGCGCGGCGCAGCCGCTTGGCACTTGTACAGTGTTGGACGTGGACCTGCCTGGTCTCTGGGAGATTTGCATGCTAGAGGAACTCCAAAGGCTTACTGTGGGCGTCGCTTGCTGCTGCAGGTGAAGCGACTTCCGATCGATCCAGCACTAGATTCACTTGCGCATCCCTCAAAACCAAAGTGCAAAACGATAGACAATCGGAATGCGGTCTTGTCATCAGAGTCTCAAGCTTGATGTCAAAATAGCTGTGAATAGCTGGAACCTCCGCAGGACCTGCCTTCTCGACATAACCACTGATCGAGAAATCAAAGACAACTGCGACATAGAAGAACATGTCCTGAGGTCGCTTCTGTGTTTATCATCAGGCCACAACTTCTGGTCTTTGCTTTCCCGCCTGGAAACTCCGGAAACCAGAGCGGTTGACTTCCGGTACATGTGAGAAACCAGTCCATGTAAACGTCAACATGACGGCTCTCGCTATTCAAAAGAGGACAAGACATATCAGGTTCACCATTCACCAGCTGCGGAGGACGTGATGACTGAGTATGTCTTGAATTTCAATCCAAGGGTCAACATGGCCATTGTAGGCCACGAAGTCGATCGCAAGTTGTGATGTTTGGTTTGTCACAATGCCATTCAGCTGCATGTCGAAAAGGGCTGCACGCGTTGCCTGGAGGAAACACGAGAAGGACTGCTTCACATCCAAGTGAGACACTAGTGTTGCCATGGCTGCTACTGCTGATGCTACCACCACAAGCAGGTGTACCAGCTGCACTACGGGTGTTTAGTGCATTCCAGTACTACTGTACTACTTCTGTTTACGACGACGACGACGACGACGACGACGACAGCGCTTCAATTGCGGCTGCTGCTGCTGCGGCTTCTGGTATGCTGCTGCTGCTACTACTACTCCTACTGCTACTACTACATACTACATACTACTACATACTACTACTACTACTACTACTACTACTATTACTACCACTACTACGACCACTACTACTACTACTACTACTACTACTACTACTACTACCACTACCACCACTATCCCCGACTACGACAATTACTACTGCTGCCTCTGCTGCTACAAGTACAACTACTGAAAATGCTGCGAGTGCTACCACTACGACTACCACGACTGGCACCACTACCACCACTGCCACCATTCCACTACTACCACTAATCACTACCAGCACTACCACCACTACCACGACTACCACCACTGCTGCGACATCGGCTGCTGATGCTGCTGCTGCTGCTAGTGCTACTAATGCTACTCCTGCTGCTACTCCTACCACCACACCGACGATGATGCCTGCTGCTACTAACGTGCTGTCATGACTGACGTTGACCTGCATGAATACTTTAGTGCATGCGGCTGTCGTCAGACAAACGAGCACATGGCAAGCAAGCCGATTGTGGCCCCGTAGGAGAGGACTTGACCGCTTGACCTTCTGCAAGCTGCTACTACTACTATACAATGCCATGGCCGGTGGAGTACTACCGTGCCACTCTTCAGCTGATTCAATTTTATTCCTACCTTTTGCTCTTCCATATTGCGAGTTTCCGGCGGTCAACTCCTTGAAATAGTCAGGATGATGAGGCTTCGACAAGTCAAGCCAAGACACAGAGTAATCCACACTCAGCATACACGTGAATCCATTCGCCGCCTCACCAAGACGGGTGCGCGGAGCGACAACGATTCTTGCACGCCATGGCTGCATTTGAGACCGGCCATGCAGTGGCAAGAGGAAGATGGTTCAGGAAGTGCCTAGCCACAATGCTATCCACCAGGTGAGTTGTCCGACATTCCTCGACTTCTGTTCTTTCATGTGGTGCTTCCCCTGTCCTGCTGGGACCCGTAGGCGGCTGTGAAGTTGCCACAGTACTTCTCCAGCATCGTGCGGGCCCGGTCGTCACGGACGTCCTGGGATTGCAGGCGGAAAAAGGAAGGTGCACCAAGCTACGCCGCCTAGAAGCGAGTGTTCTCGCAAGAAGCACCCGCTGTCACCCTCTGAAACCTGCTGGGCCACGGCTTTGTCTGTGACAGCCTCACGGAGTGCAAGACTTCATGGGTTCTTCACTTTGCATGTAGTCCGCACAACATTCAGAGCGTTGCAAGTTCGTGCTGTCATACTATAGCTTTTGATGCACGGCTCTCCCACGAGACGGAATGCACTTAAGCCTGAATAACCAGCACACAACCACCAACCGAAAAGCAACGGCCTCTTGCGTGCGGATCAGCTGTGGCACAGGCAGCCGCGTGGTCGCCGACTCCCAGGGGGCTTGTTGGAGCTTGTCGTACCTGTAGGCAGCGTGCCCGTGCATGCAAGCGCGCCTGCTGTCGGGGTCCTGTTTTTTCTTGCAGCGAGGGGTCCAGTCTGTGGGGTCTCAGTGGGGTCGGTCCGGTGTCCGAATGTCCGTCCGAACGTATTCTGTTCGTTTGCTGGTTTGTAGTGAGGTAGGCAGGTAGGCAGGCAAGCAGGCAGGCAGGCAGGTAGGTAGGTAGGTAGGTAGGTAAGTAGGCAGGCAGGCAGGCAGGCAGGCAGGCAGGCAGGCAGGCAAGGGAGGGAGGGAGGGAGGGAGGGAGGCAGGGAGGGAGGGAGGGAGGTGGGTAGGTTGGCAGGTAGGCATAGGCAATCCTGAAATCACCAGCAACGCCTGCCCTCCCTCAGCGTTTCTCTGACCAAACTTATAAAATCGATCCGATTGATTTTATCACTTCCTACCGAAAGACAAATAAAGAGCTGTGGAGTCTTTATAATAAAGGTCAGATCACTAAACAAGAGCCTCGCCTGAAAAATTGCAAGTCTTGTTCAGGGACGGGCTTTCCGGCACTGAGAGCAGCGCTTACCTCTAGGGCACACCTCTACCGTGTGGCTGCGATGCACCCCCATTTCCGTCCATTGAAATTTTGCTTTGCATTGCCATCGTGGGTTCTCCAGCAAACACCAAGTACAGCTAGCTTGTCCTTCCTTAACTTTCCAACGATGCGTGGGCGCTTTGTCTTGGACATTCTGCAAAATCTCGGTGTTGGTGGCCTTTCTATGCCCCTCGACTTTACGAAGCTCACAGGCTTTACTACGAATTGGAAAGCTAACCGCCTGCTGCAAGCAAGCCAAGGGCTCAACCGTCCGTTGGTCAACCCATTGGATAATATCGCCTCTGAAGCAATCTGGCCCACACAACTCGCGCGCTCTGGCATCAGCCAACTCATCAACTTCCTGGTTTCCAAACCAACAGATTCGTTCCTCAAACGAGTGCTTGAGGATGAAAATTCATATGACTGCAGAATGCAGCTCTTTCGACAAAGCAAGCCGACCCCACACATCCGTAGATGTCTGGGTCCGGGTTGTCTGCGTCCGGGTCCCAGGAGTGTGAATAGTGTGCTGTCAGACACCACAGGCACACAAACTCGCGGGGTGAGCCGTGGCCAACGAAAGCCTAAATGACAAGAGAGGGGGAGCGCAGCGGAGTTCTGTTCATCGCTGTCTCACTCCTTCTTGTGCTTGTGTGGGCAGATATGGTCACGGCTGACCCTCCATCACAAAAAAAATCCACGGATTTCATGAAATAGCCACAGCAAAATCCCCAACCTCAAAACAAAAGGATTCCTGTGAACTTTCCAATAAGGCGACCCAATTCCCCTTGCCCCCGTCCCATGCAAGAATCTGCTAACGAAGACTAAACTCGAGCCTGGCACAAGACATCACAACGATTGTCTCGCCAGGCTCTCTCCACAAAAAGCAGCACGCCAAATTCTGATGGCGTTTGACGAGTCCAGACGGTTCACTCTGCTTTCTCTCACGAAAACTCTCTGGCCAAACACCCCCATTCCGCTCGGCGCTGGAGACACACTCTGATCCTCGCACTAACTACTGAAGTGTCGTGCCCAGGAACTTGAAGCTCATGCGAACTGGGGTCTGCCCCAGAAGAATATTCCAGTCCTCCGTTGAAAGTCTGTCGCAGCGTACGTCCCGCATGCGTTATGCAGCACATGATGAGGTATGTTGGGCAACATGAGAATCTGAAGAGTGATGCAATCATGAAGCGTTCCTTCAAGCTGCCTTCCGGCTCACCTACAGCGTGTCCCACCGTCACTGCACCTCAGGCCTTTCTAAACACCAGCCGAAAGCTCACGCAAACCTGAAGGTGAAGTATCCCGCGGCTGCATGAAATCCAAAGCTTGAGAACGGGCAGAGTGAGATGTTGGCAGGCAAGCATCATTGATGACAGCCTGTCTGTACTCCCTGGATGCCGCATAGGTCTCCAGTTCGTTCTCGCCTCACGCCATCAGACGAGTAGCTTGCAATCGCTTCCGGCAAAGCTCGAACCCGAGGCCTGGCAAGGCAGTGGAGGAGTTGTAGAGAGTGGTGGGGAGGCCAACTGCCATCCACAGCATCACATCCTCGGGCGACTCGATCTTATCAAAGTTCATGTCGCGCTCGATCTCCTGGCACAATGCGAGATGCCTGCGTGTTAAAAGCAGAATGCTGTCTTATCGCGGATATCCAGCCCTTGAGCCTGAGACCGCCAGCCCTAGGTCGCCTTGCATACACTCCATGCTCATATGTGCTCTTTCTCAGGGCCAAGGTGCCCCCGAGAGCGGGTAGAGCTTTCGGAACGTGGGGGTCTTTATAGCCAATGTGAGCGACTGCACGACGTCATTGGCTTCAGGGACCCAGAGCACCAAGTTCACAAAGACGACGTAGAGTGCCACCACAAACCTGCAGTACGGCGCCATGAAGCCTTAATTTCTCCTGCCAGTTCTGCCCGAACTCAAGGCCGCGACCCGAATGCGAAGATGCTGGCTTTATTCCCACCTTCTTCGCCTCTGCCACCTTGATTAGGATTCGGCAGGGCCGGAAATGAGGCTGTTGGCAACTCATGCACAGAAACAGCACTTTGTCCTAGTGCACATGCTGAGCCAGGACATTCCATCGATCAAGACAGCTCCCCCGTGTGTGGCAAGATGAGACGTCGGCTGTGTGCAATCTGTAAATCCTTGCCGGCAATGCTTTGACGGTTGATTCCCAGCCTCAGGCATGGTTGGGCATGTACCAGGACGCTTCAGTGCTAACGTGGGGACGACATCGACGAACCACCATGCGACTTCAACTAAAAGAACTCGTCCCCCTCCTACAGAAGCGGCTCGCTGTTCACAACTATTGATTAGGACTTCGATACGCAGCAACTTTCCTTTACAAGCTCTCGCAACCATCGTGCACGAGCACGCCGAGAAGCAGTCTCTTGCCCCATGCCAGCTGGCGCTTCCAAAACTTGGCACACTGGTCCTTGTCGCACGGGGTGCAACCAGTGGCAGTGCACGGCTAATCTGTCACAGATCTGAACCGGAGGAATTGCCGCTGGAGGCTCGTTGTTGGCGCCCAAGTCTGGCGCGACGAGTTCCTTGGTGTGCTTGCTCTGCCTGCTCGCATCATCGAAAGATGTGAAGACAATCGCTTTGCTCAGGTACTGCAGGATGAAGAAGAACAGAATCCTTGGACATTGCACCGCTGTCAACAGTCGAATGCATGGGTCCCTTACCAGTATCAGGAAAATCTGCGACGTCCGACGGACAGAAACACCCCACGGGGACTTCTTTGGCAAAGAAGCATAAACGTCAGGTAGAATAGGAAGCCGGTCAGTGGGAAGGCATTGCGCAGATCCTGCACCGGGCTCTCGTTGTGGACTTTGCGTGTACTAGGCAGTCCAGAAATTCGAACTCCATAAACCGGCAGAAATCCTCCACGACCGAGAGACGCCCGAAGATCATCTCTGTCAGGGAAATGGCACACAGCTGCACGTCGGAAAAGTCGATGACGCTTTTGCCAAAGAGCAGATTGCTCCAAATCCTGCAGCAGTGGACGTGCAGCGCCGCAGCTGCACCGAAAAAGAATGCGGCTCATCGAGTCGCCAAGGCACACGAAGCCAAGGAAAACGTCGCCGAGAATGATCACAAGGAAGAACACAGGCGTGATGGACCTGACGGACACTGAGTTCTGAGGGCAGATGCAGCAGAGGCCGGCAATTTTTTAGATCTCCGCCGTCAGATGGAAGCTTGCAGACCGGGCACGTGATGGGTGCATGAAGCTAGTAATTACGATAAATGGACTCACGCCTCCAGCCTCGAAAGCCCGCTCAAGCTCGACACTTATTAAATTTCAGCTCTGCAGATACTTGAGGCATTTTGAGCCCACACCAGAGCCGCATGCAAAAATCCAGCAGGGACGTGGGCAAGACCACTATGAAGAGTTCACGGACTGCTTAAACTACCGCAGACAGCGGGTGATGCGATGTATATTGCGCTCTTTCTGGATTCATCAGGCCGAGGGTTGGCGATTTGCTGCAACTCCTTGGATTCCGGCCTGCTCACCGTGTCCACCAGCACCGACACACGCGGAATCAAGTCGTTCAAGTACTGCACCAGGCAGCCTTGCCAAAGATGAGAGGTTGCAGCATTAGCAGCCGGTAGCAGATTGATTTCCAGTCTAGAGACATCTAGACTCTAGAGCTACGTCGCGGCTAAGCGTCCGTTCAGGAAGACCATCATGATACCGGCCACAATGATGAAGTCTGCCCAGGCCACGGCCTGTAAGGCACAGAGCAAGTTCGTGACTAGCAGATGCAACAACCGATGCAGGCATGGGTTTCATGAGGGTGCACCGTGCCTGCCAATTTGCAACACATCTGCTAGAGTGCCAGAGATACACTCATTCACGAATATTTACACATCATCGCTCATCGCACGTCGACATGCGCTTCGGCATACAAATGGATGACCATAACTAACCCTGGATACTCGTCTGAAATTCGTCGCAGCTCGGACTCACACAGCAAGCCGCTCTACGCAGGGCCGTGTGCTGCAAAACCCGAGCGAAACCCGAAATGTTGAGCATCGGCCTCGTCTTCGAATTTGTTGAAGTCGGGGTTGAATAGCCTTCCGGGCTCTGCCTGTGCAGTCTGCAGCGTGAAGCCCAAGGACTGGTGGTGGCGGTACCTTGAATCGGTGAATGGGTCGAAGGTTTCAGAACTGAGAATCTCAGTGGTAAAAGCTTCACAATCCGGTCTTGCACATACAGTTTGGGCAGAAAGCCGCAGCACGATGGTTGCGATGTGCAGGCCGATTCCAGCTATTGCCAACATGGCCCAGCCCGACGTGAAGTACTTCGTTCCAGTGATGGCGATCTCATACCTGAGGCACAGGACAATTTCGCACTCTCAGTCCGAGAAACTTACAGTAAACCATGGCGGCAAAGGTGCATCTCCCGGAAGAAGTAGCTGCCTCGCTTTAGCAAAGACTGCGCTGTGTTTTGGGCTTTAGGGTTTCGTGACAGCTCGCAAAAGACCATCCCCTCTGGTGGGGCTTCCTTGCTTGCTTGTCCGGAGCCGGGACACAGAAGGAAAGGCAAATGGTAAAGATGCCCAATTTCTAGAAGGCACAAGATGACAGAAGGCCTGTCAATGCCCCAGTACATCTATTCTGCCAAGAAGCTGACGAGGATGATGTACATCGCGTGCCAAAGGTCAAAGTCGGGCCAGATCGCGCTCTCCGGATCTGCCCGCACAGCCATCAGATCTTGCTCCTTGCGATGGCTCGCCCGAAACCGTGATGTACAGTACTCTGAAGAACCTTTCCCTGGGACATGCACATCCCGTAGGTCAAGTCGACGATGAGTAGATACAGCTACCAAGAGAATCGTTCTTGCATGAAGTGCTGCGCAACCGCACGTAGCAATGGCACGGCCAATGTGTGACTGTTAGCCATGCCAGCTCATGAGAACTCGCAGCAAACTCTTCACAGGAAAGATGCAGACGCTCTGCTCCGAATGTTCACGGATCCCCACACCCACAGACTCTCCTCCCAAACACGTCTGCCTGGTGCCACCCTTGACATCCCATGACCCCTCGAAACCTGATCCCTCCACGGTCCGGAACCACAACTTGGTAGATGCGCCGCGACGCAGTGACCAGCCCCGAGGCCTCTGCCTGGCTGCGAGCTCTCAAGGTGCTTTGCAGCTTTCGCAGAACGTTTTCCTGTTGCATCAGAAGCTGGGACTCCTTGCAAGTGCACGAGCTTGAAACATGTATCATGGACGTCCGCACAAGTAAAACGTCTTGCAGATCAAGGCGTGCCTTGAACTTCAGAACCAGCCAGGTGATGGTCTCGAAGTTCGCGTTCCAGTTCATCCAATCCACCACCATGTAGCCCGCCTGTGGCAGTGGCGCATATGCTGACCCTCCCTGAGATGTGAAACCCCGAATTGTGACTTGACCAGAATGTCAATGAGGCAGACTTCTCAAGACGAGGCGCCGTTGGACCGAGGAATCCTCCGAGCATCCAATCCTTGGATCCGACCCGGAGGCGGCCGGGAAACGGAGTCGAGCGCACGAGAGAGAGAGAGAGAGAGACAGAAGCTGCCCTTCCGAACACGCTTTTGGGATCCCGAAAACAAACCAAGACGAGATGCTTCCCTAGGTTTTCAAAACCCAAAGTTCCATCGAGCTGCATTCAACTGCGAGAAAAGGAGGCTCTGCGAGAAGTACGTCGTCCTGGCACCGAGAACGAAACGCTGAGCTCCGGTCCCAAGTCATGAACACTAAAGAAGATTGCTCTTGTGAGTGACCGTAAGCCCTGCACACTAAACTGTCCCGGGAAGGCCATGGCAGTGCCACACTTCGGGTAAGCCAGGGGTTGAAATCCTAATCGCTGAAGCTTCTGCTGCGCAACCGCCCTGAACTGCTGCGTCAGTGCTTGAGCAAGCAACTCAGCACATGTTCAGGCCTGACCGCACCGTTAGAGATGTTCAGCTGCAGCGCGGCCAGGTAGTCAATTTGCTCTTGCGGCCAGTAGTACAGGGTGTACACGAAACCTGCAAGAGCGTGAGGGCATAAGAGGGCTGCTACATCCAAGCTCAGGCCTGGGAAACTTTGCGGACCGTTCAGCACCAAGGACTTCTCTCTCTCCCTACCAGGTGGGAAGCCCAGGGAGCGTCCAACCCTTTACCCCACGCGCGATTCAACTTCACAACTACGGGACCGCATGCCCTCTCACACTCTGCTGCAACTCGACATTAAAACTTGCAAGGCTCCGGCGAAAAAACAGCACATAACACCAGAACAAATTTGACTGCAGACTGGTGTGGTTCGGCTGGTGTATACACGCCACTGCTCCCCCCTAGACTGACACAAACGAAAATTGAATTGCAACCTAAGAGTAGTGCGGGAGAATGTCAGGTTAAGAGGGTCCCCCAGTTGTCCGTGTAGGGTAAGCTTGGAAAGATGGGGGCTTTGATGAAAAACATGCTTTCTTCTTCGCTGCATCGAGCGAATGATATGACTTGACATTGAAAGGGACGGAAGTGAATTCAGGGCCTCTAAGCTCCCCCGATATATATCATCGGAGTGATTTGCATCGGCGGTGTGTTGAAAAGAGTCCATGATTGACGGCCAAGGTCGGGCCGGATTTGGAAAGAGGTTTACCTGAGAGAAGCAAGGTTTCCCCGGCAATAAAAGATTTCACACCAAACGCCACACATACATTCAAAAAAACATGCACGGATGATGCTCTCTCTCACAACATGCTCCCCCTTCACATCTCGCCGCGTGTTGGTCTCTTCGCCTTCGGCTCCTCGTCTTGTGGTCCTGGACGTTTGTGACCTTCTCCCCCGTCTGGGTCTGCTGCTTCGTTCTGTCCCCCGCATTGCGGACTGCTTCCTCCATGGCCCTCTTGAAAACTCTTTTGATTCTTTTGGCTGAACTGAGAAAGCCAGCCACTTTCCATGCGTGTTTCCCCACATGGAAGCGAATCTCTTCTTCCATGCGAGGGTTGCGTTCCCCCACGATAGCCAGAAGTCGGTCTGCTCATCGGCCGGTGTCTCGTCGATCATTGCGCCTTTGGATGTAGCGCTTGTAGTCGTCGGTGTAAAGGAGTGCCGTGCCTTGTTCTTTGTTAAACCTGACATAGTCGGACAGAGGCCTGCTCTTCCCCTGGCCTTTGTTGTCGCGTGGCATGGCTTCTCTGCCGGGTTCTTTGGAGAGTAAGTCGTGGGCAGCATCCTCGTCCATCTTTTTGCGTAGGTCATGGTCGTCCCATGCTGGTAAGCTGTCCCGTGTGCTTGCAGCACGTGTCCCCCATGTCGTGGGGTTTGTGGTAGAAGGGCCCCATCAAGGCAGACACACCCAGGTCACGGAGTCTGTTTGTGCAAGCTTACATTGCTCCTCGCACGTAGTGTTGACCTTCGGCGGCCTGGCCGAGGGGTCGCTTTTCGGTTTGGAGCCGCCTTGCCTTTTCTCCCCCTTTTGACTGGGGTTTGCCAAAGAACTTGCCATCGTTGAGGTCAAGGTACAGGTCGTGCAGGACAGTCCCCCCGCGTTCCACAATGAAGTAGCCTCTTCTCCCTACTAGCCCGCCACCCTCCTGAAGGAGGGGCCGCGGTCAGGTTTCCAGGAAAGCCGGGGCGCGAGAGGGCTTTCTTAAGCAAAACGGCGTCAGCGAAGGACTCAAGCCTCGCCCCACTCAGAGGGACGTCCACCCAACAGGCCTGAAACAGCAGGTTCGGGGAGGGCCGCCCTCCAGTGCCACCCGAAGGAAGCGGCAGGTCGAGTTGAGCCAAAATACCACGGACCTCTCTCTCTCTCATTCTTCTCTTCGCTGGTCTTTTCACTCTTCTCGCTTCCTTACTTGCTTTCTTTTTTGCTTGCTTGCTTTGGGCTCAAGGACACATGGACCCCAAACCCTGCACGCGAGGGCTATGCCGTAGTCCGAGTCCGGTGTCGACACTTCTCGCTTCCTCTCCTTCTCCGTGTGTGTCTGTGGCTCTCTCTGTGGCTCTGGCCTTGGCTCGAGGCAAAGCCATTGGTTCTCACCAAATCCGGGCGCCACATGTTCGTGGAATGCACGAAGCGCTTCAGAACGGGGAAGTAGGCAGTCCTCTTTTCAGGCCAAACATCGCCAAACGCTTCAGCTTGCACAAGGGCATCTGCAGACTGCCGTGGAATCCTGCCAAGGTGACCTTCCTCGAGCTTAGGATAAACATTCTCGCCGGCTGAGTGATTCCAACAAGGCAGAGATGGGGGTGTGTCCACCTCAGTTCTGCTTTGAAGGATGCAGGTTTTGCTGGGACTCCTGCAAATAGGGGTTCTTTCAACATGCTGAGCTCATCGCCAGCTGTCGCACCGGAACGTGATAGAACATGCATTCACTCTGCGTCCGAGTCCAGCAGTAGCAGAGCTTTCCGTTCCGCTCCTACAAGCAGCCCGGGTGAAAGGAAAGTGCTTCGCACACCTAACAAAGCTCATCGTGCCACCTGCCCCAAAGAGAAGTCCGGACAAATCAAGCATAAACAAAAGCATGGTCCAGCTTCTCGCAGCGGTAGTTGCAGTCGTCAACCACGTCCGTCAGGGATTTCCACTTTGGGATGGACTGCGTTCCTGCAAGAACTTTCGCCAGCCCCAGATCCAAGCAGAAGACCCAATCACCGCAGAGACAGCACAGTCTGTCGACTTCTCATCTCTGGAACTGATGCCAGTCCTAAGAGCTCTCCGGAGCACATTGAGAACTCCTTGGAGCACCACTGCAGGCCTCGGCCGCATCCCCCAAAGCTTGCAAAGCCTAGTCCGGCCAGTCCAAAGGATTTGTTCTGGCAGCGCAAACTGGACCTACGATCACGGACTCTTTCGAAGTGTTCAAACTGTGAAGAGATCCAGTTGCGAGCGACAAGCCCGGTCGACAGAAGATTGAGCGGCTGAGGCTCTCGCCTAGGCTGAAGTTTGCGATAAGGGCATAGTTCTCTTCCTGAGTGATTCGGGTATGACATTTGTGCGGATGTATATGTGCGTACATCTGTACACATACAGATGCATATTCACACGTGCATGTGCACATGGCACCATGCACAACTTTCTTTAACCTCCCAGCGAAGGGCCCATGGGAGAGACGTGGGCAGCCTGCAGCCTGGCCTAAAATGACGGAGACCAGCGGCGGTCGCAGGAAGGCCGTCAGTAAAGAGGCTGACAGCCAGCGGAGAGTTGAAGCCGTACTCGCGATACACCCCGTAACTGCTGGTGTCATCGTTCTCATAACCTGGCACTGTCAACTGCTGCAGATTGCCAAGACAAGGCATATCCCTCTGCTCCAAATCTCAGACCCTGCTTCTGCCACGAGACTTGCTGTCAGGGCAGACACTGTGGAGGAGGAGGTCTCGAGACCAACTTTGTCCTCTCCGGCAGTCATTGCATGTCGAGTCGGGCACTATGCAAACTCGCGGTGTTACAATGCCGCGGCGAAGCTTCCGTTCCCATCCTTCCAGGTTACACCTGCTCGCCGTTGAAAGCGTGGCTCTGTGTTGTTGATCTCTTGAACATTTCGAAGTGAGAACCGTACCTCGGAGTTAATCGGATCTGGTTCAAGAGCTGATCACAATCGCAGCAACGGTGAAGTTTAGCACCGGGTGGCTCCATAGAGGGGAAAGTTCGCTGGCTGCATTGGCGGCGCCATTATCCGAGGTAGGGCATAGCGAAGCCAGTCCTGGCTCTGGCATGACGTACAGCTTCCTCCAACTTATAATGCACGTATTGATACATATACATAAGTACATACATATACATAAGTACATATATATATATATACACACATATTACAGCTAGAATACTTTTGCAGTTATGTTGGCATCCTCCGGAAAAGGGCGGACATTCAGCAGACTCTGAGAATCCTCTTACAACCTGAACAGCAAAGAACCATGCAACCTTGCTCACTTTGAAGATATTAAGTTCGACACTTCTCGGCCTGTCCTGCATGTCTTCTATGCTGTTGATATCTTTGAAATACTTCCTCGTGGGATCCAACTGGAAGTGGTGACTGCTCACCCACTTGTCCACGGCCCGGGTCACCAAGTACTTGGACTCGATGACACCTCCCACCAGTTCGTCGCACGAAACTGCCAGGTGAACTACGAGGAAGGTTCGCCCTCCCCTGCCTGACTTCCACACGAAGTTCATCGCGGACAGAATCAAAAGGACGTAAACAAGCATTGAAAACACCTGCACAAGCAGCGCTCTGCAGAGTTGCTCCGGGTGCCCACCGCCGAGGCCCTTGCACTGAGCTTCTTTTTGTCGTCCATCTTGATGAACTGGTTGATTCCAGACTCTGTGCCGAGTACACGCTGCCTGTAGATGTCATGACCTCAACGGAAGCAAACAAGCTGTCTCCAATAAGGGATGTCAGTGTGAAGGCTGCGGGACACCGAGCAAATGTGTCACCACCAACTGAGCCCCCAGCGGGAGAGCGCGTCCCAGTTGTAGTCAACATGCCGGCCAGCTTTGGATGGCTGTGCCCCTTTGGGCTTCATGCCAGGAGTTAATTCGATGACAGCGAAGACGTTGTGAGGAATGCTCGGGACTGCCGAAGCCGTCGGGCAGACGATCATTACTTCATGCATCTGCTCAAGTAGATGTCCTGCGGCGACAGATACCAGATACACACTAGCACCTTGGAAGCATGCCCATCATGCTGGGTGGCTTGAACCTGCGCGCGTTCAAACACACTGGGATTAAGTGCACGCGGCAAAGTGCAACTGTGCAGGCACTCGACTCTTTGGCTGCTCACTCTTTGTTAAATTTACTGCTAAAACAATGGCCAGAAGAAGCTCAAGCTTGCGTGTCGAGCAAAGGCCAACGGCTGGTCGGTTGAGTCGATGATGAGGTCTTTCTGCTCTAGATCAGGAGTTGCTGGGAGCCACGGCTAGCTGGGAGCTGGGGAGGGTCCCTGGCACCGAAGGCCACATGGACCAACTCCGAAAAGGACGAGCTACCATTCTGGGAAGCTGGTGTCCCGACAATAACTGGAGACCCATGGTTTCCTGGTTCACGCCTGGAGTCCGACCCGACGGGCTCCAGCGCAGAACCGTGGTTTCAAAAAGTTTGTGAGCAAGCTTGCTCGGAGGTCCCTGGTAGCAAGAATCGAGAGTCCACCCTACCGGCACTACTTAGCCGCCCTCCTGCTCCCAGGTCAAGATTCAGCACCAGAGTGCTCGGCGATCTTCCCCACTCGATGTCAACATGCGAACTTAGGAACAGAACTGTTTCGCAAGCCGGCGACGGTGTTAGATATTCTGAAGCCGACTTCGAGCCTTCGGAAGAGAGTTCATTTGGAATGTCGATCACTTCTCGGGCACCTCGGGGGCCGGGGCGGGCGCCGCCTTGCCGGCGGGCGCAGCCTGCTTCAACGTTTCTCCAAATCGCCCTTAGCAAAGACTTCGCTTCCTCCAAGCTACACACACACGACATGCACACCGAACACACACGCTCTTCGTGCATTTGTCAATTGGCCAGCCTTCCCAGCGGCCTCTTGTCTTGCAACCGCCTGCAATTGCAGGGAGAGCAGCACACCGTGAGGGTCCGTGGCAGAAAGCTCTGGCAACCCCTATACCCGAAGGTCACCACCACACCTGGATCAGAGCTTTCATCTCCTGCGGTTGTGAGAGGTGCAACGGAGTCAGCGGCAACTTCAGTCACGGTCCTTCTGCTCGCGCTCTCGCCTTTTCTTGCGTCTGATGGTCCTGCATCGTCGTGAAGCAGACGATTGCTCGTTGATGCTTACTTGCAAGTTTGCACTGAACCGATAGCTACAAGTTCTTGGATTCTGCACCGTAACTGACAGATCGATCGCATGGCACATGGCAGTAGAACATCAACACGGACACAGCATGCAGTTGCTGCAAACTCTTGTGCATTCGACCAGCCACTTCTATTGTTCAGTGCTCATGCTACTAGCTGCTACTAACCTCCGAAGTCGCATTAATGATACCAAGGAGCGTCTTGTCAATCAGTTCACCGCCAAACAAGATGGAGCCAGCGGCTCCGAAGACAAAAATGAGCACAATGGGCACAGCCACCTCAAGCAGCGAGAACAGATGCCGAACGGCAGGAGTAGAGCGCATGGCGTGAAGCACAATGCCCACATCTGCCATCGGAAGGAAGGGACCTTTTCCGTGCAGGAATCAAACCTGAGAACGAGTAGGAATTCCAGGAAACGATCCCTTGTGGTATGCGTCCTGCAACATCTGAACCGATGTTCTTCTCCTTTCCCAACCTTCCTGATCCTTTGCTGTGGCATCAAGATCTGTACAAGCACAAAGTGCCAGCGCCAGCCTGCACGAGGGGCGGCCACTGCGAGAAGAAAGGCGGATCCTTCCGAATCCGCTGCACTGACGCAATCCTGCCCGCGACATTGAACAGCTTTCCTAACTGCTCACTGATCGACGGAAGTAGTGCAGAATGGGCAAATCAAGGTCTAAAGCCCCACGAAACAGAGCGCAGGTCTCGCCCAGCACGTCTTGCGCCAAAGCTGGGGACGCCCCCAACAGCGCCAACGATAGGGCTGAAACAGGTGCCTGAAGCCAAGCTTCGAAGGAAGGCACAAATCCTGAAAAGGGGATGTTTACTATGCTTGCCGTGACGGGACAGCAGCACCACCACTACAAGCCAGAGCTCAGAGAACGAAGCCACTGTCTTGAAAGATTAGGTCCAGGGGGTGCTTGGATTGTTGCAAGGCCTGCACCACGCGTGCGGGTCAAGATATCTGAAGGGACGGAAACATCACAGCCCCTGAATGTACTGGTGATCGCGAGAACGGCTCACGAATGCCATCGAAAAGCCCCCACACACACACACACACAACGCCCATGCGTTTCCGTTGTAGGAACTCGTTACTAGTGAACTGATAGAGTGTCCGCGCGGAAAGTGAGAGTACCTGAAAACCGGTGCTCACCACGGCCTCGACACCAGAACGCCGCACGGGGCCGCGCGGCGGCACGAAACTAGGCCTCAGTACAGCAGATACAAAGGGGCCCGGCGGGCACTCAGCAAGCATGGAGGCGTTGCATAGCGTCTAGGACTGAATCTTCACCAGGGCATGTGCATGCACACAGGTCGCACCCCCAGCGTGAAGCCGGACCGTGTGTCAACCGGTACTCGGCTTCGTGATTGCAGTGGTTCATCGACGTGGTGCGTGTCTTTGTCCTTCGCACTTTCGGACAACCCCATGTCGCTGTTCCCTGCAGGGTCTCAACGTACTAGCTCCGAGAGCAGCCAAGCGGCGCTAGGACCGCTAGGACGGTCAAAAGCGCCGCCATGACCGGGGTCGCACCTCCGGGAGGGCGGGACAAGGGCCCTGGGTTGCAAACATAGCTGCACTTCTCGTCAAATGCTGAGCTGAGGGGCATCGTCTTCGCCGCTGAGGCGTCATGACAAACAGAGAACGTAAAACTTGTCTGAAGCTTGAGCAATGCCGACGTGCAAAACAGCAAGACCTCGCATCACTTCCAGCAAGGATGATTGTCGCTTATGTCCTTCTCGCCAGAGCCAGCCCTGCAACCCGGGATGTGTTGCGAGAACACACTGCCAATAATAACAGAAAAACGCAGCCAAACAGCATGAAGTCTCGAAGGCACTTATTGCGCGAACCTAACAGCGTAATCTGAAGGCTCAAAACAGATTAGCTTACACGTACCATGGAGCGAACGCATCTCGAACCAGAAGTGACGACTGCAGACATTTGCAAAAACCCTTCCCCCAAGTCTTTTCCTGTTTGCCGCGGGAGAGACTCCGGACCGCAACAGCCATAATCCGGCGGTGCTGCATCCATGCCTCACGCATGTCGCTGGTCGGCAGCACCTTCATCTTCTGCCGAGAATTTTTGGGAGCTGGTGAAGCTTGCGGCTGGCTCCTACGACATAGAAAAGTTGATCTGTCGCTTGCATTTCTGCCTTCCTCTTGTGCAAGGTTGCCTACGCAAGACAAAACAATGGTTTCCTCAGCGCATGTACCGGAGGCTCCTGCACTGTTTCTACACGGCTTGGACCGTAGCTGTGCCTGCTGCTGCCTCGTTGGCACTTGCACGGATTCGCGACGCCTACTCTTTCACTATAGCCCTGCACTGCCTAGACTCTGGCGTCTGGAGTTGAGCCACTATGCCTGAAAAATCCTGAAAACTAGATGGGCTTGCGCAGGTCGGGATCCGGGCTCATCTCCAGGCATCACGCTGAGCAGAGACGACTGGAATGGTGTGAAACTTCTCAGCCAAACAATGTCAAGCAACCAAACATGTCCAGTGGTGGTCCTATGCTTTCTCGCTCTCTGGAATCCGAACCAATTCTGGTGAAGACACGCAGGGCGCTTGTGCTCCCGAGTGCAGGCACGGCTCAAGGCTGCTCCGAACCGGCTGCGCTCTCCGAAAGCTAGGCCTCACAGAGTCCACATCTATCCGATGCCCCTTTTCCAGCTCATCCTGCCATCGTTCTTACTCTTGTACTTGCGGAATCAGCGGCTACACCTTGTATCCCTAAGATCTGGAAGGACAACGCCCGCACTCCGGAATCCAGAAGCGCTTCAAAATATTGCAGCTAGAAGCTGAACATGTTCAATGTTCACCTGCCTCACCCCAAACCGTGAACTCTGACAGGCCGAACCGAAGCTGAAACAGTCCCCATGCGAAGGGAAAATCCCGACTGGCCTCAGATCGGTCTCAGTTGGATTCCAAGCCTTAGTGGGTGAAACACTTTAGGCTGTCTGGACTTCGAATCTGGTGGGTGTGTGGACAGCGTCTATGGTCCACCTGTTAAGCAATTATCGCAGGCGCGCCACCGGTGAGAATCGAAAGCCGCCCCTAAACCCTAAACGCTAAACCCGTTCGAAATGGTTTGGCCTTGCGCTCTGGGCCTGCGACGTGTTGGCGCCGATCTCCGCCAGTTGGCAGGTTTCACACCTTGATGCGGGGCTGAGGGATCGAAAAAACAAGCAGTGATCAAGAATCAATTGTCTGGAATCAAAAGCAAATCAAAAAGCTAATAAAAACATTATAATCTATCTCCTCGTGGGTAGGATTATACTCAAGATGACCTATCTGCGGATCAAAACAAAATCAAACACGGATCAAACAAAACCAAGAGGGCTCAGTTTTTCTGCTGTCCAACCAACGTCGCAGCACTGTGGGTCGTTGATGTTTGGGGGATCTTGGTGAAAAAGGTTGACACGCTGCCAGGGCAGGGTGGTTGGTCGCAGTACTACTGGCCGAGGCAGTACGTGTAATCCACAGGAACAGTACAAATAACGGCAAAGGGCAATAGCAACAGTAAATTAAAGTATCATGCGATGCAAAGAAATGTCTGTATGTACGTCTGTGTGCATGTAACTGCATGTATGAGTATGTATGCATGTATATATGTTCCTTTCCTCCTTTCTTCCTTCCTTCCCTCCTTCCTTCCTTCCTTCCTTCCTTCCTTCCTTCTTTCCTTCCTTCCTTCCTTCCTTCCTTCCTTCCGTCTTTCCTCTCTTTGAGAGAGAGACCAAGTTGTGAGTGTTCGCGGGCTGCAGATGCTGTAATTTGCAGCAGTTCAGAGTTTTGATATGATTTGATCTCTGTTTGATTTCTTGTTGATCCCTACTTGAATGTTTGTGGATCCCTATTCGCTGTTTGTTGATGCCTATCTCTTGATGCGCCGGCTGCTCCTGCAGCACGCTGGTTTGCGGTTGGAGCTTTCGGATCAGAGGCAGTATTTTGGCGGCGGCTCCTGCCAAAGACGCTCAGCAGCTCAAGATCTCTGAGGCTGCTGCAGCTTGCCCTTCCAGGAGATATCGTATGTGGACCCACAATACGGGCACCTGGAGGCGTGAAAGCACATGGCATGAGTGAAGGACTTGCCACCCTAGGCCCTAGACTTATGGACTCTGCAGCTTCAGTGTGGGTCCTACAGGGACCGGCACAGCTTGCAGGCAACCCATGGCAGTGACGTCTCTTCGAGGGTCCATCATAAAGGTTAAAGACGCAGTGCGGCTTAGGCGGTGAAACGCAAAACCGCAAAACAGGATGCATCGAGGCGAGCACGACACGGACTTGTCATTGGCGCCGATGGCGGTGAAGGATCCGCTACAAAGCCTGACCTCCTCCGCGCTTGCCTGCACCAAAAACCCAATATGCGGCTGTGCACATCCAAAGATGGGGACTTCCGGACTGAAGCGAAGCCTTCGGGTCAAAGTTGATCTGGTGCTTGTCTGTTGCCTGCACACTAAAAGCAACGATCATTCATTCCACCAGGCTTGGCTATGCCGGGCGACAGGGGTTCATTTTTCCGCTTCGGCAAAGCCGCAGCTCTGTTGGCATTAGACCTATAGTACGGATATACAAGGAAATCGATAGCTGGCGTGGCCAGCGCTACTGTTCTTCTAAAGGTAGTGCACCCGTCCGGGCTATCCGGCGCGACAGTCCGGCTATCAGCATACTATGAATTTGTGCCGTTTGGCAGCAACTCGCGTGCTGGCCATGGCCACCAAATCTGTATGGAAACATTGAGCACGCCCCCCGGAGGGGATCCTAGTCGACAAGAGGTCACAGCGAGAGTCGAAGCCATCGCGATGGCTCAGGCTTCGTACTGCTCAAGCTCGAGCATCGCATTTGCCCAGTGAAAGTATTTCCGAGTACCTCACGACATGACAGCGAGCGAGCATGTTACAACTCGCGGACTACATCGGACTTGATGCCATGATCCTACCAAGGCTTACGATCTAGATGCACCCTCTCGGGTATAACGCACAGTCCCACGATGTCCCACCTAAGTGCTTGATGGTGCGGATATTGATGCTCGCCAGCACTTCCACGCCTACCAGGACGGGACTGCAGGCACAGCGAGAAATCTGAAAACAACACAGCAGCTTGGGATATCCTGATGTGTGCCATTGGCCCAAGCCCCGGTAATTTCTACAAGCAGTATGGTACACCATGGTTTCTCTGATGCTTGCTTTGGCTGCCCCTGCGAGTGAATGTTGAAGTGGATCTTTCAGCATAGTGGGGAAAATGCCTCTGTGCACATGGCGTACTCCTGCATGCCTGCCTTCGCAGAGCGTGCCAAACAGCCCGGGCCTTCTGGTGGCAGGATGCTCAGTGCCGACACAGGCAGGTCAAGCACCTGCAGCCAGATCTTCACCAGAGGACAAGAACTCGAACTGGCGAAGAAGCGTTTGCTAAACCACATGGAAGCTATCCTGAACAGGACATCTTCGGGCGAGAACATTTTGAAGGCAGGTGTAACTATCACCGACAGCAAGAAGGTAAGCCCTAAACCCTAAAGTGCAAATGCGCCCCACACACACACGCACACACCATGCTGCTTCTTCAAGTTACAACGAGGTGATGCGGTCGCAGCCCGGCGTTGCTTACAACTCGATACAATGGCCTGCTTCAGCGGTGCCGTCTCGTACTCTGCATCCAGCATGTTGCCTCGGTTGCATGGCGTCGGACTGATCAGAGGGACGACCAAAAATTGCAAAAAAGGAGTGAATGCACCTGGACAAACTGACCTGCTGGGGATTCAAACTTCAAACAGCAACCGGCGCGTATGAAGTATTTCTTGTTCTGCCATGAAGGCGACGACACGACATGACGGCATCCGGTGGAGGGAACAGCCTTTGCAGTTGATGCCAAGTTGCTGCGTGCAATCTATGCTGGAAGCTAATTGGCGAAAGCCGAGGAGCGGATATTCATCTTGGCAGAAGGGCCGCTCGCGTCTTTGTCGTCCTCGTCGGTGTTTTCTGTTGGCCTGGGGTTGCCCGTCACTCGACCAGGCAATGCCTTTCTTCGATCCCACGCAAGTTGAACCGAGTAGCGCCATTGTCACGATGGCCCGGGCCAGCAAGAAGACTCGCCATCCTCTGGAGCGGAGCTCAGATCTGCGTCAAGGGGGCCCTGAAATCCTGAAACCCCCACTCCTTCAAAGCGTAAGTGCGACCTCCAAAACTTGGAACCCAAACAGCCGAAGCTTGAAACGACGGCACACGGAGTACAAATCGCACCACGCCAAATCTCTTCACCCCACCCGACTGCCTCTTCAGTGTCAAAGCAGAAAAGCGGACCGTTGGGAGGTTACCCTTGATGGCGTGGACACTGCGACTAGGCGCGCCCACAATGAACCAACAGTGCCAAGCAACACTGTGAACCAGCTGCCTTCTGTATTGATCAAGGGCGAGATTGGTTGCTGAAATGAGTTGCTATTGCTATAAACTGGAGAAACAAACAGTTGCTACACCATGGTCGTTGAAGCATTGCATGTGTTGAATCGGGGAAAGCTCGGTGTGGCACCAGCTCCAAGCTTGCACTTCGGACTGAAAGATAAAGCAGCTCTATGCAAAAGGGTCGCATGAGTCCTGCCAGCTCGCGGACTGTTTTGATGCCCAACTTCTCCAGGGTAGCCTCGCCATTCTCACCGGAGAGGCCTGCCCATCTGCTGTGAGCATAGAGTGAGCTCAGGCAATACGCCATTCCAACAGGTTGGGACAACACTGCTAAACCGAGCTTCTGGTACTGCATGGATAAGCTCCCATCATGACTGACACCTCACTTGCGGCCTGTGAAATGCGACGTCCTTACAGGCTACAGTGTACTTTTTTGGTCGCAGTCTTTCGTGCCTCGAATGGCATGCACCGGAGAATCAAGGATCTCCTTGATGCTCTTGCCTCTGAAATCCTGCACTGTGTAGCCCAGCAGAGGGTCCGGGTTCCAAGCAATTGGGCGGCGGTCTGTTCGGCTGTTTTTCATATTTCTGCGCTCAAGACAACCGGAAACCCCGAAGCCCTTCAGTCTACCTCGTGCTACCTTCGCGCCAGCACCAAAGAGTCGGCTGTGTTTCATGACACCGGTTTCCTTGATCACCGCCAGGTTCATGTTCATCTTGTAGGGATCATCTGTCCACCCCTGCACATGTCCTCGGTGGAGCATGTCACTTGAGGCATCTTCTCGGCTTGAGAGAGAGTGATGCGAGCGAGCCTGCGAGCAGGGTCAACAAAGAGATAAACAAGCTTGCACATGGCGCCGGTCTTATGCGGCTTTGCTAAGGCAAAGCTAGGACCTCTCTGCCGACATCTTGGAGGAGCAACTGTGTCCGTCAAGCTGCGCACATAATGCGCTGCGAGCTGCTCCTCGGACAGCTTGCTCAGCCATTTCCTGGGTGGCACTAGCAACTTCAAGAAAGACCTGCGCGTCTGACCCCTCGGATAGCCTGCCTAATTTCTTGACAAACCATTCACCGAGAGTCCTGAAGACCGATTTGTCTAAGCCTTTCGAAGGATCGATGCCTGCCCAAGCAAGTCATTCAACCCCAAGCCGTTGAATGGCGCCTAGATCTCTCACCAGCCTTGCGATGAACAGAATTTCTCGAAGCCTGATCGGACCTGCAAGGTGAGCATCAACAAAGACAGGAAGGAGTAGCCTCAGTCTAAACTACAGATAACGTGGGAATCTGATGCAGCGAAGCGGGCTTCAAATGCGCGAACAAGCCGTGTGAAAAGCACTGACCACATTCCTCGCACCTGCGGCTCCAGAACATCGTGCTTCTGGGAGCTCTTCATGTAGAAAGGCAGTATCTCCTGTCTCTGAAATCGTCTACTCGAAAACCTTTCACTAACCCCGGAGAGGAGGTAAGGATCAAGGTCCTCCAGCGTCAAGGTGCCGGAGCCATCGTAGTCCCAGGCTTCAAAGAGACCATCCAGCAGCTCCTTCAGACGCTCACCGATCGAAACTCCCAAAAGATTAGTAGGATCCAGCAGCATTCAAAAGCATCGCCCAATATCCGAACAGTCAATAGCACTGCGGAACAACGCCCCCGGTCCCCAATGCGCCTCTCGGCCCTTTTCCTCCGCGACTTCCTTGCGCTGCTGCTCGAAGGTCTTCTTCTTCTGAGCGCAGAGTGCGAAGCGAGGAGGTTCCAAGGCTTCGGCCCGTGAGTCAAAGAACGAGTCTTGGTTTGGTGGCCTCGACCTGTTTACGTGTTCGCGTGAAATAATCCGCTGCTGGTTGGAATTTCAAGGTGGGTGACAGGCCCGAAACCCCAAAGGAGGTGACCCTGGTTGGTTCAACACCCGGACCAAAGATGTTAGAAAGCTTCAACAGGAGATGATGCTACTAGGTATGATTGGTTCCCCAAAAACCCAGATGCCGGCAATAACTGCTTCGGATGACGGGCTCTCCCAGAGCCACAACTAAGCCTTTTTACACGATCTTGGATCTTAAACCCAACACTTCTGCAGGAGATGATGAGCACGAAGCCATGTCCTCAAAGGCCAAAGTCGGGTAGGTCGGATGGCAAACCCAACGCCCGAGCGGGATGATATGTGGCCAACCCTAAACCCGGAAAGGATGTGTGGCAAACCCTCAGCCCTAAAGGCTGTCCTCTACAAGGCTAAACCCCAATACCCCAATAGGGGATATTGGTCCCTAAACCCTAAACTCGAAAGACTACAAACTCCGAAACCCCTCGCCCCTCCAAAATGGAATTATCATCTTTGTCTGCTAAGCTTGTCAGTGGTAGATGCGAATGATTGTGTGTGTGCATCTTCCTGGGTGTTGTTTGTCCTCTTTGCGGGTCTGCACGGGGTCTGTAGGGCCAAAGCCATAATCGCCCGCCACACGCAGAGCCAGCTCGCGCAGCATTCGATTGAAAAATGGCTAAGGTTATCAACATGTTCGATAGTTTGAAGCTTCACAAGCCCAGTACAAAGCTCTGGGCCCGAACCCTCTAAGAGCGCTGCACGTGTGCAACAGGAATACTAGCAGCTCGTGCGATTTTATTTGACATGAGTTGCCTGGCCACTTGGGCCACTTGAACATCCCCAAATACCGGAACCGTGTGTTCCCCCACTTGCCCCGCTTGACATCGCCGTTTTGCACCGATTGCCCACTTGTGCCACTTGTGCCGCTTGCAGTGCGCGAGGCCTTCAGTAGCACAAGTAAGTAGCGGAAATAGTAGAACAGTGTCACGACTAGTAACAATACCCTAAAGCCCTAAACCCTAAAACCCGAAATCTGAAACCCTAGACCGTAACCCCGCCTGATCGCTAAACCCCGAAACCCTCAACCCATAAACCCTAAACTCTAAACGCCCCAAACCCTGCTTAGGGCCTAAACCCGAAAACCCCAAACCGTGGCACAAGTGGCGCCCCCCCCTCAAGCGGTACAAGTGGCGCGAACCCCTGAACAATCGTAGAGATGTGCACGCTTCAAGTGGGGCACGTGACGCATGCCACTTGAACAGAGCGATATGCAGAATTCAAATGGTCAAGTGTCCCAAGCGGCACGAGGGCAGTGAAACAGTAGCCCACACATAAACCCGCAACGATGACTCATTGCTTGAAAACTCTGACACCCCAACTCTCCAATCCTCCTCGCTTCAAGAGAAGCTGCCTCAACCTTGGCCTTCTTTGCCGCCGGCTCTGCCATGTCAGTCCTCGGTTGCTCTCGTTCTTTAGCTTTGGGTGTTGCTTTGGGGCTTAGGGACGTAGGGCGAGGGTGCGGGTGCATGTCCCGAACTCTTTCCATGCCTCCTTTGTGTGCCTTGCATTGAACATCTTGACAAAGGGATGGTATCCTTCAAGTCCATCTATCTTAATAGGGAGGAAGGGAGGTACTGAGGAGGGAGGGGAGGGGGAGCCACAAGATGGGAACCGAGTGCCGGTGCTCTTACTGTGCCACGCGTGACGGATCAAAATAAAATATCAACCAGCATCAAAAACCAACGGGATTTAGAAACCAGGAAAGCAGGATCAAAAACGGTGGCCATGAAAACCAAGTAGAAGTCGTAGTCGTAGTCATAGTCATAGTCGTAGCTGCAGTGACGGGACAAGCAGTAGTTGTCGTGGTAGTGGTAGCGGTAGTGGTAGTGGTAGTGGTAGCGGTAGTGGCCGTGGTAGTGGTAGTGGTAGTGGTAGTGGTAGTAGTAACGGTAGTAGTAGTACCTACTAGTAGTCGTGGGGTAGCAACAAGTACAAGACCAGCATGTCTTGTAGTCTGCCATGTGCAACCCAGCATGGGCGCACTTATTTGACTCCCTCATGATGCGCCGCAGGGTGGCACAGGGTGGGGCGCAGCAAACTACCAAGGCCAGCACTGAACTGCCCAGAAACACAGACACGAACCACAGCATGTGGATGCTAGAGCCGTGGCAACAATCACAAAGACAATCAGGGGACAGGCTGCCAGCATCATGGCAGGCAACCCCTAGCTAACATGCCAAACACGCACCGTGGACGCACTACACTGCGGGCGTGCGGGCGTGCGGGCGGGGCGGGCGGGGCGGGCGGGCGTAATCGGTCGATGTACAAAGGTTTGTGCTCTGACCTGGTTGTGTTGTCATGCATGTATGTATGTATGTATGTATGTATGTATGTATGTATGTATGTAGGTATGTGTGTGTGTGCGTGATAATGTGTGTCTGTGTGTGTGTGGTGCGCCTCTGTGCGTCTCTTTGCCTCTCTTTGCCTCTCTGTCCGTCTCCGTGCGTCTCCTTGCATCTCCGTCTCCGTGCGTCTCCGTGCGTCTCCGTGCGTCTCCGTGGGTCTCCGTGCGTCTGCATGCGTCGGCGGGTGGCTGGGTGGCTGGGTGGCCTGGTGGCTGGGTGTGTGTGTGTGTGTGTGTGCGTGCGTGTGTGTACAAACCAAGCAGCCCACACGAGCCCAAGCACTTCTACTACTACCACAACGCCCCGACCCGGTACTCACAACATGACGGACAGCAACACAGATCGCCAGCCTCCTCGCAAAAGAAAACGATCTACCACACCGTGAGAATTAGCCGACAACAAGTATGTGCATGTTTTGCCAACTTCGTTGGCCGACCTAACAGCATCGACGTTGTCTCGTGCACATACAAGGCTGGCACCTGCTACAGCTACCATGTACCAATATCGCAGCTTTCGTGTTTCAGGTCGTAAGCGCCCCAGACAAGGGGCACTGTTTGTGTGTGACCACTCCCGAATCGGCACTAGGGAGAACGAAAGCTGCGCCATGTCGCGCTATTGAAGATCTCGCATGAAACTTGCAGGGGGCAGGAGCACGACCATGGGTCTCCTGCTGACAAAGACGCCCATGGTTCGTGGTGAAGCAGTTGGAGACGCCCAACTGTGTCCCTGCAGTGATACTGCATATCCTTGCTGTGCATTGCTACCGTCCTCGCTGTTGCTTTAACTAACCACTTCTACAAGAACGCTGTATTTCGACAACAGATTAAGTCCTGACAGGTCTCCCAACTGCTGAGGTCTGCACTACTATGACCACAGCCGGCGACATTCAATCAGAACACTCCAGTGTGAGGACTTATGTCCAATAGGCGGAGGGCCCAGCGGTGCACCGTCTTGATCCCTTCGGGGGAATGGAGGAAATAGATGAGCTTTACCTCCCAGTCAGCACTGTTGTGCAAAGTACCAGCGGAAAGAAGCGAAAGCAAAAGCAGCCAAAACTGGCACAATATATCAGTCACAAAGTACCCATATGTCCCAGGATGTTCCGTCTTGTCGTCGGCTGTTTGCGTCTTGTTTTGCTCGTCGCTTTCCTCGCGTTTCTTCGCTTCTTGTTTGTCGTTGTTGTTGCTGTTGCTTCTGTTCTTCTGTTTGTTCCCTGTCCTGTCCTTTGGTCTGCTCTCGTCCTTTCCTACAGGTACCGGGACGGGAGGACGGGCGACTGCCACCAATTTGGGGTTTTTCCCTCGGTTAGGCCCTCGGGCTGAAGGGATCTCGAGATTAATTGTTCTCGCGGTGCCTTGGTATGTGCCTCGGTGCCTTTTGGGTTTGATTGAGGTCACATCGGTTGTGCCTTGCTGTCTGTTGCTGCTTGAACCTTGGTAGAACATTGGTGACTCTCGAGCTTTGGTTTGCACGTCGTGACTTCCGTTTTAGGTCATGTTCGGTTCTTTCAGGCTTTAACGCCGCCGTTCATGCATGGAGTGGATCTGAAGTTGTCTTCTCGCTGTTGCTTATGGCTTGGGCTTGAGCTGATGGTTGGAAAAGCGTTCGGTTTTCCGACTTTCCCTGAGTTAGATGTATAACAGTGTTTGACAGTGCACGCTCGTCGGGATGGCTTGGCGAGCACCAGTCACATAAGGCTTGCAAGAGTATGCATTTCAACCCATCCTTTTGATTTAGTTCTTGACTTTTTCAAGAGAAACAGACATAAGGCTGAGAATCTTGTGTTGCAGCATGATCACTCAAGCTGCTTGCCTTCCATTTCATTTCGTTTCTTTGCGGTAGCAGTCTGATCACTCTCCTTCTCGTTTCGTTCAGTTGTATTCTGCCTCCCAGTTTTTCGCCGACATGGGGAATCCAGACCTTTTTTCCAATTTGTTTTCCCCGAAAATCTTTCTTTTCTGCTCCTCGTGCACCCTTTTCACCAGTCGTTGGTCGTGAGCTGCGGCTCGGGAAGAAGGTTTCGGGTTGATGTTTTGTTTTGGGTGCCCTTCGTGCCAAAACGTTTCTGTTCGTCCTGCGTTCCTCTCTCCCTTCCCGATCTTATTCTGTTGGAACAAGATTCCGCAATCACAGTCGACTTTGAGACGACAGTTGCGGGGTGCTTGACCAGCAACACAACGGTTCTTGGAATGCTTTCCTCCAGCTGGACAGGTGAACACAGCAAGCTTGATTGTGGTGACTTCGGTGAAAGTTCTTTGGTGTCCTGTTCTGAAGCCTTTGAACCCCAGTTACCGTGTAAACGTGGGGCACGGAACATCTTCCCTCGTGGCAACCGAACTGCAGTCTCGAGTCGTGACTATATTAACAAATATATCGATAGCTGCATCTTGGTGCCCATCCCAGTGACTTTGGATAAAGCGATTTGGAGTGGAGCTGTAGCACCTCTGCGTGCACCTTGGTAATGTGAAGAGCTCAGCCGACGTGTCCAATAAGCACATGCTTCTCGGTAGGAGTGAGGTGACTTGGACCTGGTTCTCGAAACACAACATCGACTCTTGTTCTGCGGCATTTCGTTTGTAGCGAAATAGCACGCTGGAGTAAGTCGCGAGAGTGCGATAACGAAGCCGATACGAGAAAAATAGCCGATGCGTCTGAAGAGGAAGCCGTGTATGGAGGGATCGCGGAGCCGATGGGAGTGGAACGAGTCGACCGGAGAGCCCGACGGGAGCACAAATAAAATACGATACGGGCAGGGACGGTGCACGGGGGTAGGGAAGGGCCAGGGGCAGAGAGCGATACTGAAGCACGGGAACGGTGCACGGGAAGGTGCAGGAAAGGGACCGGGAGAGAGAGGGATAACGGTGCACGGGTACAGGGAAGGGGCAGCGATAATGGTCCATGGGAAGGTACAAGAAAGGGACCGGGGCAGGAAGGAGACCGGGGCAGAGAGCGATAACGGTGCACAGGGATGGTTAATGGTGCGAATTGCATCATCCGCCTCTCCGTAGGCGGTTGTGTGCCTGAGCACTCCCGAATCGGCACTAGGGAGAACGAAAGCTGCGCTATGTCGCGCTATTGAAGATCTCGCATGAAACTTGCAGGGGGCAGGAGCACGACCATGGGTCTCCTGCTGACAAAGACGCCCATGGTTCCTGGTGAAGCAGTTGGAAACGTCCAACTGTGTCCCTGCAGTGATACTGCATATCCTCGCTGTGCATTGCTACCGTCCTCGCTGTTGCTTTAACTAACCACTTCTACAAGAACGCTGTATTTCGACAACAGATTAAGTCCTGACAGGTCTCCCAACTGCTGAGGTCTGCGCTACTATGACCACAACCGGCGACTTTCAATCAGAACACTCCAGTGTGTGTGTGTGTGTGTGCGTGTGTGGACGGTCCTCGTTCGGGCGGACTAGTCCGTTACCCTAAATCGGTCGGGAACAGCACTCGCACACACGGATCTTTTTGTGACCGATGCAGACAGTCCGGTGGTCGGGTGAAGCACTGTCAGACGGACGCAGATTATGGTGACCTGGTCCTTTTGGCGGCGGTCGGACCAAAGATGACCAAGCCGCATGCTTGACCCGACAGGGGAACCGCACCAAAAGACCATCAAGCAACGGGCCCGGATAGAATTCAAGGTGCAACAAAGCCTGAGAAAGGCTCAGCCGACGGAAAGAAACGCATGGACGGAGCGGCAGCGATGAGCGACCAGTCGACATCCATTGACTCGGACGGCGAAAAACCGAAGGATGCCGGATCGGAGCCGTCGCTCAAGCCATCGGCAATGTCGTTAGAGATGCCGGGGACATGATCCACCTGGACGGAAATGCGCAAGCGCTCTTGTAACGTAAAGAAGGCACGGAGCACGGAACAGAGACCGTGAGCCATCGTCAGACCTTTCCATGAAGCCGGAATTATCAGAGCGGAAAACAGTA